GCCTGTCTATCCCCCCCCGGCACACATACATACACACGCGTATGCACACACATACACACACACATACACACACGCACGCATATACACACACAGACACGCACACACACACAGACACGCACACACACACAGACACGCACATAAGGTTCACACTGTCACCAACCCCTGTCATCTTTGTTCCTATTTGTATGTAATGTCTGTCTTGTATCTTGTATGTCGTTTGGTTCCTATTTGTTGTAATCTATGTAGTTTGCAAATAAAAATTATAAAAAAAATAAATAAATAATAATAATAATAATATTACCTTACTGACTTATATTAATTGGTCATGTTCTGTCTCTCCTAGATTTGATAGCTATCCCTGATTTCCAGTCAGGTGCAATGGAGAACTGGGGTCTGACCACTTACAGGGAGACCAGCCTGCTTTTTGATCCACTCACATCTTCTGTGTCTGATAAAGTCTGGGTTTCTATGGTGATCGGGCATGAGCTGGCACATCAGGTTGAACATATCGTTCATATGATTTTAATCTATAGGCCTATGTATGCTTGTAGATCTAAAAGTCATGTTTCTGCACAGTGGTTTGGTAATTTGGTGACTATGGAGTGGTGGAACGATATCTGGCTCAATGAAGGATTTGCCAGATACATGGAGTTTATCTCAGTAGAGGCCACTTACCCAGAATTCAAAGTGGTATGTTTTTAAAAATCTATCATATAATAATTTTGCACGTAACTGTAATTTGTTTCAAGTATTGTCCAAATTGCCTCAGGAAGAGTATCTGCTTCACACGTGCTTCGCAGCAGTGGGCCATGATTCTTTGAACTCTTCTCGGCCAATTTCGAGTGCAGCCGAGAATCCCACTCAGATCAAAGAGATGTTTGACACAGTCTCCTATGACAAAGTATGTTTACACTTAAGCACGCATCTTCAGTCATAGATAATTTAGCTGCTAGCTTCCAGTCCGCTCAGCCAATTTGTCAAACTTATGAAATACGCATGGTTGCCTTTATACATAGTCTGCAAAATATAATTCAAACTTTTTACTTCTTTTTTTATGTCAGGGAGCATGTGTGCTGCATATGCTTCGCCACTTTCTGACAGATGAAGTGTTCCAGAGTGGGATAGTGAGATATCTTCGAAAATACAGCTATACAAATGCCAAGAACCAAGACCTGTGGGACAGCCTGTCCAATGTAAGAACATAAATATTTCAGTGTTTTTTTTTATAGTTTGGCCTGCAGTATTTCTGTCTTTGGAAGTGTCATTTTAGGGGATAAACCAAATGGCCTAGGTATTATTGCAAAAGATAAAAGCAAACACGCTTTACTTGTCTACTGATAGAATATAATTTTTTTGTAATGCATTTAATATTACTTTTTGGCTCAAATATGTATAGTTAACCGTTCATATTTACAGTTTTGTGTTACTCATTTGTTGTTGTTCAGACATGTTCAGAGGAAGACTTCATCTCTGGGAAACAGTGTTACAGCAGCCAGCAGGCATTCAAAAATGCTGTGAGTCCAAAACTCCATCCGGATTGAAGTTAAACTAGTTTTTACACTTTTTTTCATAATTGTTTTTGTTGCAGTACCTTTATGCTGGTGAACACATTGACCTGACAGCCATGATGAACACATGGACTCTACAGAAAGGAATTCCTGTAGTGACAGTGCGGAGGAGCGGCCCAAATCTGGAGTTAAGACAGGACAGATTCTTGAAGACCATTCTGCCTTCTGACCCTCAGTGGTCTTCACTGCAACAGGGGTAAAGACTCAAATTATACATATTAAATTTTCTTACACATTTAGTATGGCTTCATGTTTGCTTCCTCATTAAATTTCCAAGCTTCCTTTGGCACATTCCGATCACATACAAGACGGATGCCTCCAACGTGATTCATAGACACATGATGACCACAAAGACAGGTATCATAAAGTTATAGCATATATAGTAAGTTATATGATAGTTCATTTAATATCCCTTCCTTCTGTGATTTAGACAAGATATATATAGGTAAAGAGACTGACTGGGTGAAGGTAAACGCAGATATGACTGGCTATTATGTGGTTCATTATGAGGATGGTGGTTGGGAAAAGATAGGCAAGCTACTCAGCCAAAACCACACGGCATTCAGCTACAAAGACAGGACTCACTTGATACACAATGCATTTCAGCTGGTCACGTGAGTCGACATACATTTGTATGTGTGTTTTTATATTCTATTAGATTTTACATTAATCTTGGGTATTTTTATAGGGCTGGCCTGTTGCCTCTTAATGAAGCCTTGGATCTGATCACTTATTTGAGATTAGAGAGACATACTGCCCCTCTCCTCCAAGGTCTGGGATATCTGGAAAGCTTTTACAGGATGATTGAGAAAAGGAAGGACCAAGATTTAACAAAGAAGTTGGGGGTAAATCATTTAACTCTATTTGCTGGAGACAACTATTCAGGAAATCTTAAAACTGCTCTATTTTGTGTTTCCCTTTTAGATGCATATTTTAAATTTTTTCCGTGGAGTCATTGATCAGCAAACATGGAGTGACAGTGGCTCAGTGTCAGAGCGCAGGCTGAGATCAGAAGTTCTGTCTCTGGCCTGTCATCTTAAAGACCCCCCGTGTCTGGAACATGCTCTAAAACACTTCAAAGACTGGATACAATCCAATGGGACACAAAGGTTTGTCTCCTAATGTATTATGATATTTAATAATGATACACTTCTAATCATTTCTCAAATAATTGTTTACTGTAGCCCTCCTACTGATGTGGCAGACACAGTGTATTCAGTTGGGGCAAAAGAAGTTGATGGCTGGACCTCTCTGTTCCACACATACACCACATCTCTCTCAGAAGCACAAAAAAGACAAATAATGGAGGCGTTAACCAGCACTGAAGATGTCAACAAATTGCAGAGGTTTGTTCCATGTCAGTGCACTATGAACATTTGCTGCCCTCATGTGGCCAAATTGTTCCTTGCATGTACAAAAGTCAGAATTACTTACGCTATCCCTGAGAGTAGAAATTATTTTTTTTACAAACATACTGTTTCTTAATTGAGAGAAAATACATTATACACAACAGCGCAGCAATTACTTTCAACTGGTTACTTTCAGAACCGGTGACAGAATTTCTAGGCGCAGTCAGGGGCCGGAGGGGGGCCGGTTTGGGGACCACAGGATTTCATCTCTGCTGTTTGCGGACGATGTTGTTCTGTTGGCTTCATCGAGCCAGGACCTGCAGTGTGCACTGGGGCGGTTTGCAGCCGAGTGTGAAGCGGCTGGGATGAAGATCAGCTCTTCCAAGTCCGAGGCCATGGTTCTCGACCGGAAAAAGGTGGCTTTGCCTCAAGTGGAGGAGTTCAAGTATCTCGGGGTCTTGTTCACGAGTGAGGGAAGGACGGAACGTGAGATTGACAGGCGGATCGGTGCAGCTTTGGCAGTGATGCGGTCGCTGTATCGGACCGTTGTGGTGAAGAGGGAGCTGAGTCGAAAGGCGAAGCTCTCGATTTACCGGTCAGTCTTCGTTCCTACTCTCACCTATGGTCATGAGCTCTGGGTAGTGACCGAAAGGACGAGATCGCTCGAAATGAGTTTCCTCCGCAGGGTGGCTGGGCGCTCCCTTAGAGATAGGGTGAGGAGCTCAGTCACACGGGAGGAGCTCGGAGTAGAGCCGCTGCTCCTCCACGTCGAGAGGAGCCAGTTGAGGTGGCTCGGGCATCTGTTCCGGATGCCTCCTGGGCGCCTCCCTCGGGAGGTGTTCCGGGCATGTCCCACCGGGAGGAGGCCCCGGGGAAGACCCAGGACACGCTGGAGGGACTATGTCTCTCGGCTGGCCTGGGAACGCCTCGGGGTCCCCCCGGAGGAGCTGGAGGACGTGTCTGGGGTGAAGGAAGTCTGGGAGTCCCTGCTTAGGCTGCTCCCCCCGCGACCCGGCCCCGGATAAGCGGACGAAAATGGATGGATGGATGGATGGTTACTTTCAGGTAAATTTTGTAAAATAAACATGGGCGTTTTTTGTATTGCAGACTGCTGGAGCTGGGTCTGGAGGGGAAGGACATTAAGAGTCAGGACCTGTCTTCTGTCATTTACATGGTCGCCAGGAACCCGCTGGGCCATCATCTCGCCTGGAATTTTGTAAAAAAGCACTGGAGTACTCTGGTTCAGAAGTAAGAATGGATTCACTAAGCTTACAAAATGTTAGATAATCAGATGCTTATCTGTTCCTGGTTTTTTTACAGGTTTCAATTAGGTTCATTTTGCATCAGAAATATTCTCATTGGCACCACTGGACAGTTCACTACCAGTGAAGAACTTTCAGATGTAAGTAGTGTGTGCATATATATATATATATATATATATATATATATATATATATATATATATATATATATATATATATATATATATATATATATATATGATTTTCTCTATGATTTTCCCCTATAGGTGCAGTTATTCTTTGAGTCTATAAAGTCTGAGTCTTCTCAACTTAGAGTTACTCATCTTGCACTTGACAATGTGAAGAAAAATGTTTACTGGGTTCAGAGAAACCTTGGGACTTTGAAAAAGTGGCTTGATGAGCAGATTTAATAGATGTATATGGAATACACACTTCTCTAGAGAGATATTCTGGACTAGCCTGGCAGTGTTAGTGATGCTGCAGACTGGAGGAAATTGAAACACTGAATGTTTACTTCTTTGGGTGTTGTATATGGTTATAAGGAATTAAATATTTGTTTTTATTTCTTAGTCATGACATATTAGAAATATCTTTGCACTGGTCCTGTGATGCAACAAAATAAACAATAAAGTAAAGCTACTTGTCTGTTTTAGTCATTGTTTTGTCATTCACATATGATTTGGTGATGATGATTAAGCTATTTAAGTTAAATATAGTTAAAAGTAAGTAAATGATTGTCATATAAGGCTACGTACTTTGTGATGCGAGAGCGTTTAGCACGTGACAGCCTCCACGCCCTGGGCCGGATCGTGTCCAATCACGAGTCCAATGGTGTTTCAGCCGATGGGAGCTTGTCAACAACTGCTCTGAGGCAGCAAAAGTGTCATTTGGCTTGGGGCAACTTTGCTCAGACCTATACTCACATTTTCGCTTAAAGGCTTCTGCAATCATTAGTTTAATGATGCTGGATTAGTCCGGTAAAGTGAGCTAAAGCGATTAAGTCATAGATATATACCAAGCTCTTTAAATGTCTGACAGTGAGGTACAGTTGTCAGAAGTTGGCTAGTTCCGAGCTAGCTTCACCTGCTAACGCCATTGGACAGGCAGGATTCATTTATTCTAGCAGATTTACTAAGCTGTTTGTTCTTTACAATCTTAAAGCATAGGGGGACCTACCATGGATCCATTTGACAGTCGCAATTCAGGTAAGAAAAAGCAATAATAGGTGAGGCTAAAAGCGGCGGGCCAGTGTCCAACATTAGCTGCAAGCTGACTGGACTGGACGTGACATTCGGGCTAGGACATTCACACCCTTTGTTTATTTAATAAGTCGTCTTTGTCTTGATGCTGTTATACATGGTTTTTGATCATCGCATTTCAGCACCATGTTCTTTTTTCCTTGGCTGAACACTTTGTAGTATGTTGTCCTGTGTGGTTCTCATAATAATACCCTGTAGTCTGTTTGTTAGCCTTGTTTTGTTTGTATTGAATAGATTAGTCATGGGTTTGACTGCAGCAGACATCCACACTCCATCGCCTTTATAGGTACATGACGCATGAGCCTTATCTAAGCAAACATAAAGATAGAAACAGCCCTCTGTGGTAAGTTAAATATACTGTTTTGCATGTTATATTAGGCTCGTCTAACCACCAGGAAGATGTTGCACTAAATCACTGTCTGTAACTTCCTGTTTACACATCAGATATACTAGATTATGACAGAAAGAACTATAGCTTTCAAACCTTGTGTCCTGTCTCTGAATTTACACAGACTGGGTTGTGTAGACACATGTTATTAAAGACTGATGGTTAGTTACTATACTATATTTATAGTGATATTTTACATTGTTGTGAAGGCCCAATAGTGGCCCTAACCTGTATATAATATTTTTGGACATTCTTTTTGAGATTTATAATTATTACACTGTAGAAGCAATATTGAAATTGGCAGAAATATGTGCTTTTAGTACCCCAAAACCAATATTCAAATAACATGTTAGACCAACAGAAATGTTTTGTAATCATAAAATCTTGTCTTCAAATGTGTTAAAGATATTTAAATGCTTTAAGTTTATCAAGTTTTATCAGAAAAATGTGAAATGACTGTAAAATAACCCACGAAAGTGTAAAAACATAAATTTATACTATTTGCGATCTTACAACATACATTTCTTTCTTTCATTTTCATTTTTCTTCTTAAGCAACACTTTTTTTTAAATTATTTTTTATTATTAAAGTATACTCACTATTCAAAATGTTTATCTTTGATAATTAAAGATGAAAGATGGAAAAAAAATAATACACTCACTAAAACTGTCTTTAGTAATCAGACAATGTTTATATTGTGAGGTGTAATTGGAGGCCTGCTCATCACCCAGCACTACTATGTTTTGTTATTAGATTATGCAGTTGACCACAAGCAAATGTCACCACAGCAGTTGTTAGACATTTCTGTAGGAGAATCACATGTTGGTTACACAAAGAGCCCTTATTTGGCTTTTAACGTTGTGCCATTGCATTGCCAAGTTGTGGCAATGCAATGTAAGACATTATTTAAATTACATAGCTTTATTTCAGGTTTTGCATCACTCAATAATAATAACTATTTAAAAAGGAATACTTTATGTTACATGTTAAAGGCTATCATCAGCTGAGCTTTAATGATGTTGATAATTATTAGGTAAAAAAGACATGACTATTAAATGTGTTAGTTACAAATAATTTATCCAGAACCAGTTACAAAAACTGGTTAAACAGGGACAGGAAATTCATGAAAGTCTTCTTTGTTGAGGCTTCTTGAGTTGCCTTAAGTGACAATAACGAGTTGCATGTGGGTCAATGGGCTGGAAAGTTCTTTCACAGCATGACCCGAATGAGATTGGCTATTGAACCAAATGAGGAAGCTGACCGCAGACACTTTCCCTTCCTCATAAATCTTTGTCTTTCTTGTAGAGCGGGCAAATCTACCCAGAAACATGATAGAAAACAGCATGTTTGAAGAAGAGCCTGATGTCGTTGACCTGGCCAAAGACTCAACTTCCTTCCCTGTAAGTCTGTTTTTCTGTATGAAAGTCTATATTAAACCATGACTATAGACAATTAGAGGCAGTATTTATGTACATCTGTAACCATGGTGATCTATCTCAGCTAGTCTTCTACATGCAACAGATAAATTAATTTATTAAGGAAAGGCAAGTTTATTTGTAGATTAATTTCACAACAATCACAAACATCAAACATCAAGTACTTTACAGAACAACTAAGATGCATTAAATACAAAAAAAAAAAAAAAAAAAACTTTAAAAGAGAAGTGTGCTGATAAAATCCTTTCAGTCATACGCGCAGCTAAAAAGAACAGTTCTAAGCCTAGATTGGCATCATAGATCTGGCAATGTTTTAGAGTGTTAAAAGCTGCTGATCTTATTGATTGGGTAAAGTACCTTTTTTGACACCAGTCTCTTGCTATTTTTCCTACTTATTTAGAATTTATTATTACCATTACCATTGTTATTATAATATAATGCCATGAAGTAATTTCCCTTGTGGATTTATCTAAGTCTAAGTCTAAATTCAACTTCATTATTCCATTATTGCTTCTAGATTTCTAACTTGATTTGTAAATTTTAGAGAGAGAGTGTATAATTATAAGAGATGTTTTTTAACACTTGCAACCATTTAATTTGACTGTTTTTGTGTAGACGTTTCCTCCCCTAGACCCCGATGATGTGGTGTATGAACCGCGTAGCTCTCGGCTTCTTGTCCGAGGCCTGGGAGAGAATGACTTGGATGATGAAGAGGAGGACTGTGAATCTTCTGCTCGGCTCCTCGGCATGTCCTTTATGAACCGTAGCTCAGCTCAGAGAGTTGCCGCTTCATCTTACACACGCCAGTCTCAGTCCAGGTAACTTTTGTATTAAAGCATCATTACTTAAAAGTCAATATTTTGATTGAACAGTTTAGTTTTTATTTGAACTCTTCCTCCCTCCTAGGTCCTGCTCCCGACCCTCAGCACGCACCATGGTTGTATGTGTGCTCCTATTAGTTATAGTTGTCTCTATGACAATGGTACTGTACCTGTTACCAGAATGTACTTTTACCAAGGTTAGAAAACTACATGAAGTGTTGGTGATGATGATGATGATGTGATGGTAAATATTTGACTTAAACTGTTTTTACTCTTCAGAACGGATGCCCTAAACAGAACAAGACCAGTCCCCCTGAGTCACTCTATCCCATTTCCACTAATGGGGAAGTATTTCCTTGGGCACAGCTGCGACTGCCTCAAAGCATACGCCCCCTCAACTACGATCTCACCCTCAACCCCGACCTGGACAAAATGACATTCACTGGCCACAATGTCATCACAATGTTTGTACGACATGGCACTAAACACATTGTTCTGCACAGCGTGAATCTGAATATTACTAAATCCACATTTAAGGTAAGTTTCTAGTTTGTCTTTAAAGTCCTATATAACACAGATTTGATTCTTGTGATCTTTATGCCATGTTATAATGATGTTATCTCATCAAAAGCATATTGGGAGTTGTGTTTTGTTTCATTCACACATGTTTGAGTCACTATTAAACACAACTTCACAACACACAAAAACATAACATAGAAAATAGACTAATACAGACGCTTTAAAGTTTATTTTAGGTTAACATGCTAGAATGACAGCTGAAGTTCTAACACCATATTCGTTTTCTTGGCAGCTTGGTGATGGGAAGGCCACTGATGTAACTGTTCTAGAGTATAAACCAAATCAACAGATAGCTGTTAAGTTAACAGAGGAGCTCAAGGCTGGCCAGCGCTGTGTTTTGACTATAGATTATTCAGCTAACCTGTCACACACTTATGATGGATTTTACAACAGCTCATACACTGACAAAGAAGGAAACAAAAAGTATGTTTATGAGTAAAATTCTCTCTAAATACACTGTATTTGAAATGTTAAAGGTTAAGTTTACTTTCATATCTCTCTCCAGAGTGCTGGCTGCAACACAGTTTGAACCTCTGTCGGCAAGAAAGGCGTTTCCATGCTTTGATGAGCCCTCTTTCAAAGCCACTTTTCTAATTAAAATCAGTCACAAAGCGGACTACATGGCTCTCTCCAACATGCCCAAGGTAAATAAATGATAAATGAAAATGCTGTAGCTTTTGCATTTTTTACTGAATAAGGTGAATTCCATAATATACATTCCTGGCATTAGCTCTGTATTAGTAATGTACTTATTTTCAGGCAAAAACAACAAAGTTATCAAACAATTTGGTTCTGGATGAATTTGAGAAGACCAGTGTCAACATGAGTACTTACCTTGTAGCTTTTATTGTTGCCAATTTCACACCAATCAGCAAACATGTCTCCAATACCTTGGTAAGTCAATTTTCTGTAATTTAATGAAATCATATGTAGTAAATTACAGTGTCATAGATTATATTATGTTCAAACTTTATATTTTTTAAACATAATATTAACTTACCTTCTATCTTTACATGTAGGTATCGGTTTATTCTGTGCCAGAGAAAAAGGAGCACACCAGCTATGCTCTTAATGCAGCCTCCAAACTTTTGGACTTCTACAACAACTTCTTTGAGATTCCCTATCCCCTCCAGAAACTTGGTGAGCCAATAGATTTTTGACAGCTCTTTTCTGTTTTATATTTTTTTTTACTTTGGTCATATTAACATACACTTCATTGTTTTTGTCAGACTTGGTAGCGATCCCAGATTTCCTGGCAGGTGCAATGGAAAACTGGGGTTTAATCACCTTTAGAGAAACAAGTCTTTTAGTGGGCTCACAGTCATCTGCGCTCGAAAAGCAAGTGGTTGGCTCAGTTGTAGCTCATGAACTTGCCCATCAGGTTGGTATTTGTCAGTGTTCATTTGATGTTCACTTTAATAACCAGGATTATAAAGCTTTTATTCATAATGGACAAAGAATGTATTAAGAATTATTCAGTCTTAGTAACTTTTACTAATACCCTAAGTCCTAACCCCTTTGTTAAGTAGATACTCAGCCTGAAGCATTCTCAATAAAATAATTGTTCATTATGAATTAAGGCAAAATAAGATGTAGTTATTATAAAGTGGTACCAGTTTTCTTATCTAGAAACTTTATGTTTTATAGTGGTTTGGAAACCTGGTGACTATGAGCTGGTGGAATGACCTGTGGTTGAATGAAGGCTTTGCAACTTACATGCAATATACCTCAATACAAAATGTTTTGCCAGAGCTGGACATTGTAAGTTCTGAATTTTATCTTTCTCCAATATGCCCAGTGACTGCCGTTACATGCACACTCAAAATCTGAGAAAAAGAAAAATATGAAATGAATGTAAACAGCAAAATCATCTGATTTCTTTCTGAAAATGGTCCATCTTGTTACTCACATCAAATTGTGTAGTTTGCCTCTCCTTTTAAGAGTCTTTCAAGGTCTAGATCAGATTTTGGTGAGCTTGTAACTGCACCCACTGTTAGAGGTGAGAAATATATTGAGAATTATTGCTATTGTTTTGGAGATTTTTTTAAATTAAAATTTCAAGTATATTGTCTGTAATTAAAACAAAAAACAGACTGAAACATCTAGTGTAATCTTCCAAACAAAGGTAAAGTGAGTTTAGCATTGTTAAAATATAGTTTGAAGAGAGATTTCAGTTTCGTCAATATGGCCCCCACCCTTAGTTTTCTGTAAATTTTTATTTATTTTTTTTCCACATATCTGCGCTTATTGGCAGGAAAATTTGTTCCTTGATGTTCGGTTAAGAGTAATGGAGAAAGATGCTCTGAACTCGTCTCATGCTGTTTCCACTGAGGTTAGCACACCAGAGCAGGTGGAGGAGATGTTCGACTCTGTGTCATATGAAAAGGTGCACTTCACTAAACTGTTCTAATATTAGATTTGTTTAGTTGTAATTATGAAATTTACATTTTTTTTTAGGGAGCATCTATTCTCCTAATGCTGAATGCCTCCCTCCCAGGAGAACAGCAGTTTAGGAAAGGGATCATACAATACTTGAAGCAATTCAGTGAACTAAATACATACACAAATGACCTCTGGAACAGTCTCACACAGGTAAGAATTTTCCTATATTACTATTAAACTGGAAATTCAGTGTGCCAGGGTAATTTTTAGCCCTCCAGTGCCTCACTACTCCCCTCTGCTGGCTGCTGGTTCTTCTGACGTTTTGCATGTACTGGCTTAATTACACCTGTCTTAAGGTAGAATGTAAAGACTTTTTTTTTTCCTTTTGTTACTGTCTGGCATAGATTACTCAAATGGCAACATGTTTATAGAAAAGTAAGAACATGATTTTTAAGTAATTCACTAAGTCATTTTTATGAGTTGGCCAATAAATGAAGAAAATCAGTTTGGATTGTTATGTGATGCTTTATCACACTGGACCTGATCCATTGCTAATCTGTCTTATATCTCTACCTCTTGTAAATAATTTTGTGTGGTGTCCTTAGGTGGAACTGTCCTCACAACACCAGAACGTGTCTGAGATGATGAGTTTGTGGACATCACAGAAGGGTTTTCCCCTGGTCACAGTCAGTTACACAGGAGATGAAGTCATTCTATCCCAGGAGCACTTTTTACTAACGTCTGATAATGCCACACTTTCCTCCAGGTAAGCTCCATCACACTAGGACTGCAACTAATGATTATTTTAATAATGAACTAGTCTTCAATTGAAAATGTTTTTTGTTTTTTTTTAATGTGTTTAGATAGATTAAGGTATATATGTGCTAACTGAATACATGTGATCACAAAGAGCTTATTCTTTTTCACCATTTTGATTTAATAATGTTTCTTTTTTGTGATAGAATACAATTGATGAAAAATTATTAACTCATTTTAAAATATAGTTTGCAATTATTTTAGTAGTCTGTGTATGTTTGTATAAGAAATATAAGTAATAAACTTATGGAACAGAAATACACAAATAAATAATTTAAAACTGTGTACTTTTTTCAGTTTGTGGCACATCCCTGTGAGCTACATCAATGACAGCTGTAGTTTGGCTCCTGAGTGCAGACAACTGTTCACCCTAAAGACAAAATCAGGTTCAAAGTCTAACTGTAAGATTTACGCTTATAAATTGCAATGTGCTTGACTCTTGTCACTTTTTCCAGAGACATTAAAGTTGCCAGAAAAGGTAAAATGGTTAAAGTTGAATTACAAAAATACTGGCTTTTACATTGTTGACTATGGAAAAGAAGGGTGGAGTGAACTCTCTGATGCTTTGGCAAATAATTACCAAGTACTAACAAGTGAAGATCGAACATCCTTGATACACAACATTTTTGCCCTCTCCAGGTGAGCGTTGTCGTCACCAATACAGAAATAGAAGACTGATCATTTCTTAATGAATGTCTTACTTCTTGTGTTTCTCAAAAGGCTTGGACGTGTGTCGTTTCAGCAGGTTCACCAGCTCCTGAAATATTTGTCCAATGAAACTGAGACCACTCCGATCACAGAAGCATTGTTACAACTCAACACCCTTTACAGACTGCTTGATAAGCGCCATGAGCACGAACTTGGGACTCGTTTAAAGGTTTGATATGAAATATTTGTTCATTTTAGTTTTTTACATGAAAAATATTCTGTACATATTGTAACATTAATATGTATTCTCCAGGAGTATATGCTCAATCTGTTTGGAGCTTTAATTCAGAACCAAACATGGGGTGAAATAGAGCGAGTTTCAAAACAAGAACTGCGCTCAGCACTGCTAGAGACAGCCTGTCATTTTAATGAAGAAAGTTGCATTGAGAATGCCCAAGACATTTTTAAAAACTATGTTGAATCTAATGGGACTGCAATGTAAGAAAATGTTAATATTCTTCAGAGTGCATAAGAAAATACTAGTAGTATCAACTATTTTTACTGTGTTCATTTTAGCATCCCTGGAGATTTGCAGCAAGTTGTTTTCAATGTCGCTGCACAGTCAGACAACTGGTCTACTCTGTTGACTTTATACGGAAATGCAAGCTATGATTCAGAAAAAAGAAAGATGCTAAAGGGCTTGGCCTCTACCCAAAACCCTCAACAGATTGTGTGGTAAATGCATTTGTACATTTAATTAATTATATTCAATTTGTTAATAGGGAAGATTTACTATAAGAATTAATATTACATGCTATGAATGTCTGGTATTGAATTGTATTTTTGTTCCTTTTCCAGGATTTTACAAGAAGGACTCAGAGGCCAAATAGTTCAGACTCAGGAGTTGCCTTTAGTCATTGGCACTGTGTGTAATGGCTTTGCTGGTTACTTGTTTGCTTGGGATTTTATTCAAGAAAACTGGGACAGACTCATAGAAAAGTAAGATGCACATTTTCTGTTCAAAGTAATTATAGTATTTGAGTTTACATGTCCTACTTTTTTTGGTAGATTTCCTGTTGGATCTTTTGCAATTCAAAGAATTATCAAGTCTGCAACCTCTCAGTTTTCCACTAAGACACACCTTGACCAGGTAGGCTGATCACCATATTTTATAATAAATTATAATTTATTCATGTGTAGGACTGTAGGCCTTTAGTCGATTTAATTGGTCAATGATTCCTTAGACAACCAATATGTGTCTTAGACTTAGACAAAATTTATTGATCCACAAGAGAAATCATTTGCATTAATCGTTTTGTTTAAATACGGATTTAAATGGAGCAATAGTAAAAATGGGGAAGTTATTGGGTGAGTTAGCTGAAAATTTGGTATTTTTCAAATTTACATGTAACAAGACCTGATTTATATAAATACATTGTTTTTTAGTACTTTTTTCTGCATAAACTCCTGTACAGTTGTAGTCTTGTGAGTGAAGCTGGGGTCAGATACATAGAAATACAATAGTTGAGAGTGAGCGAGAGAGTGTTTGCCAAGCCCTCTTTTTAGTCAACAGGACATGTCTTTAGTCAAACAAGAATTTCTTGAGTCAGCTACAGCCCTATTTTCATCACACAATGTTTTGTAGGTGCAGAATTTCTTTTCTGGCTTGAAGGAGCGTGGATCCAGCATGAGGAGTGTACAGGAGGCTGTGGAGACCATTAAACTCAACCAGCGCTGGATGGACACTAACCTGGCCTCTTTCAGAAAATGGCTTTAGTAACTCACTCCATACTGGACATGTTCTCAAGACAAAAGCAGAGTTTGCACTATTGGAGGCCAACATCCCAGTCCCCTTCTTACTCAGGCCAGGAACATAACCAAAGCCTAAGATAGACCTCAAGACCTAGTTTTGAGGTAAATAAGGTGATGTTGTTGACATTGGCCCATTTAGTACTAGATTTTAGCTCAGGGCGGCCCTTGATTGTATGTCTGATGGGCTTCTGTCAGATCCAGTTCACACTCCTCACACTTTATGCTGTTGACCAAACTGCTCCTGTGTTATTATAATCTCAGTATTGTGTCCAACCAGACAATCACAAAATCCTTATTCATATGTGCTGAATAAAAGCAACACCTGAAATCTTTAGCATTACAATGAGCACAGATGTGTTAACTGAAACAGACAGTGCCAAATATACAGATATACTCATCAAACAGAAAAACATTCAAGCCACTGGCTTTCTCACGTTGACAAGTAGCACTGACTACAACCTTTTTTACCTTAGTAATAGACTGCTCATAAAAAGCAACCTTGGGGTGCATTAGTTGAATGTAATAAAACCACCCACTGTGCAAAGTGTGCTGCAGTGGAGCACATTTAATGGCCATCGTGTCTTGACTTGGTGCGTGCAGTGCACATAAAGTCACATCTCCAACCCCACATTAGCTTTAGCATTAGCTGTAAGGTTTCTAGCTGTAAGCCACGCTTGCATTGCTTATGTAAAAACTGTAAGTATAATGTAAATAAATTAAACATTAATTTAATGATAGGTTGTGGACAAAGACGTTTAAGAGGAAACAGGAAGATGATCACAGGTGTCGGCAAATACTTTTACTCCTAACTTATTATGCCACACAGTGAGCCTGTTGGCATTTCAGTGTTTCAAGGGCTTTGTGTACATGATTGGTACATGCAGTACCAAGAAAATTTACTTTATAGAAATGCCTCTATATTTATTTTATTGTAAGTAAAAGTGTAACAACAAAGCGTGCACACAATGTTACTTCTGTTTTTTATATTATTTTATATTGTTACGTTGGAAATCAAATCACAAAAATATTTGCAAATCTTTCTTGTTTCTGTTACACTTCCTCTTTAGAGATGGGACTCACAGCTATTGTCTGACCCCAGGCTGCCCATTAAAGTATGGACTGGGGGGGATGAATACGTAATAAAAAATGTATCAGTTTTTGCATGTCAAGAATTCATCTGTAAGGATTGTTGTCCAATCTATTTATTGTCTGTCTTTTTGGTGCAAAACTGAATCAAACTTTCTACAGATCTCAGCAGCGCCTCTTGGGCCAAATCAAATCCTATGAAGGATCTAGAATTACCAACTTTGGGATTCTAGCTTGGTCATTTATAGATTGGCCAGAATTACACCAAAAATCTTATGTTGCGTTGGATCCAGTGTAACCACTTACAGCAAATAGTTTTTTTTGTTTTTTGTTTTTCTTCAAAGCTCTTGGATTAGGGGCAACATTGTGCTGCAGTCTGCAAATGTGCAAACATTGCTTTTAATTAATGAAATCTGACAATAGACATGTAGTTGGTACACATTATATTTTTATTTATAGTGAATACAATTTCACATTTACTCTCATTTCATCTAAACAGTTGGCATATCCAGATCCACCACTAGAGGTCTTCAGAGCGTGAAGTCACTGTATCTTTTTATGCTGTTTTTGTTTTGAAATTGGATCTTTCAAAAAAGAAAAGAAAGAAAAAGGCATACCTTTTATTGAGAGTCTATTCTATATTCTGATTTTCTCTTTTGGGGTGCTATTGTAATAGTTAATTCAAAATATATATTTGTAGTCAACCCAGGTCATTTGAAATATAACTTCAAGTGAACATCTTTGACATTTAAAGATAACAACACTTATATTTATTACTAAATTGCATCTTTATAATGTCAGAATACAAAACGAGCAACACTGAAAAAACTAAATTGGCACACGATGAAAGTAGTAACAGAACCATTTCTCATAACAGGAAGTTCAAGTTGTTCTGTACTCAACACAGTTATTAATTAGTTTTATATTATTGTGAATTGCACTTGCCATGTCATTAAAGTTATAAATCCCCACCTCAAGATTATTAAAATTCTTTTTTTACATTCAGATCATAAAACCAAGAGCTTTCATTAACAAAACATTAAAGGCAAAACTGTCAATCTCTGATATAACTGAGTTACATCCCTAGTATTAAATCTGACCTGATGTGATATACTATAACTTTCGGATGGGTGGAGATATCAATAAACAGGTTTGAAGACCCATGACACAGTCAGACTGGAAAACAACAGATCAAGCCTTGTTCCATATAAAGTCATGAGATGAATAATTTTTAACCTCATGTGAACTATACTGAGACTTTTCAAAACTTCAAGATTAAATGACTCAAGTGATAACCGAACACAGAGGGCAATGGATAAATGGCACAATGGTTATGAAAGAACATGTTTAGAACGTGGCATACAAGGTGGATCAGCAGCCTCTCTCACTTCAGCCTAGGGGTGACCCTCTTTAGTTATTTGTTTACGTTTTCTAATGACAGAAGAGTACTGAGTACATAAAAACTATGTATTTTGTCTTTTTCCCAGACAAGTTTAAGAAATAGATATTCTGAAGGTTTATGTTTGAAATAATCATAAGATAATGCATAATAGATAATAGAAACAATACTTAATTATAAAAACACTTCTGGCACTATAGACCGTAAGACAGTTCTGACTATATTGTTGCATCTATGGTTGTGGTTACGTGTAGATATTTTTTTTCAACAGAACTTTCCTGAAGCTTCTCTGAGATTACAATGGTCATGTTACACAACAGATGTCACGCTGTATGATTCCAGTATGTTCATAAATAGTACAAGAGGTTCTGCTTTACACTGTTTAATTCTGTTTCAGTGATCACATAATCCATGAGGTCTGTTTTACCAGCCTCTCTGCAGCTGTGCTGAAGACTTGAGGAGAGATCCGAGATGAACTCAGAGACAACAGCCAACAGGTTTTGGGGCTTCATTCTCAACTAATTATAACCAAAACATCTGGAGACAGCCCAAGGTAGGCCAAAGAAGAGGATGTATTATTGTTGTGGCCTAAATATATAATATATATATATATATATATATATATATATATATATATATATATATATATATATATATATATATATATATATATATATATATTTTTTTTTTTTTTACATATTGTAATTAGTGATGAATCACAGGGTTCCTCGCGATTCAATACGATAGATGGCTCAAGATACAATATTATCACGATATGGCAATACATTCTACAATCGATATATTGCACATGATACTCATGATACATCATAAATTTTTGTTACACTATTTTATTGTTAAACCACTACCAGTGCAAAGTGAATATAAAATGTATCTATTTTAGTCATCAAAACAAGAAATATGTCAAGTGCATTGCATAAAAATGTTTCCTTCCACTAAATAAACAACAGAATTGTAGTGTAGCCATACAAAAAGTGATAAAAGATATCAAAAATAATCTTATATATCAATACAGCAGCCCACAATAATGATACTGTATCACCAAATTTTGTAACACGATATATCAATATTTTGATTTTTTTGCACACTCCTAATTGTAATACAGTTAGCCTCTATTGTTAGTGCAATTACAATTTGAAACAAGATACTGCCATTTCTAATCATCAATGCTCAGCTTGGTTCTTGTGGTTTGGAGCAGAGTTCAGCCTATGAAGAGAGAATGGTGACTATTTTAATGATAGCCTATTTGTCATAATTTTCACTGATTTAGCCCATATTGCTGATGTTCAAGAAATTAATATTGAAAGCCAGTTTACTTATTTTTAGCATGACAAAGTAAATGTGAATTGCAAATCTTAATCAGTCAATAGAAGGAAATAGCCATCATTTAGGCTGCTATTATACAACATTTTATTATCAAATTATCATTTTAACATCTGGGTCTGTAGTTGGCTGGAAACCTCTTGCCCTACTATGCTTTATCTATGCACTCAAGTAAAAATATCTCCATACAGTATCTCATCCGAGACAATGAACTGTTGCATAATGATTATAAAAACAGGCTAGATTTTATAAGAGCTACTGCTAGGTCTAAATGTGTACTATGCTTTATCTAGGCCAGCAAGTAAAAATATCTCCATACTGTATCTCATTCAAGACAATGAAATGTTGCATAATGATGATTTTAAAAACAGGCTAGATTTTATAAAAGCTACTGAGCTAGGCCTAAATGTGTGCGTTGATCAAAATGAGGGCATGCAAAGACAGCGGTATGGAGAGAGCAGCTTATGGACTTATGGGTAGGTGCTCTGAGACGATCGATTAATTCATTACAGTGGTCCCTCGTTTATTGAGGGGTTACGTTCTAAAAATAGTAGTCAACTTTATATTTTACAATTATTATATATGTTTTAAGGCTGTAAAACTCCTCACCACACACTTTATACACTTTTCTCTGCCAGTACAGTTAGCCCTTTTTGCATCCTTCTTATTGCTAATCTTAAACTGCTTAAAATTAAATTGCTTAAACTTATTGCTGCTGTTGTCCTTCTGTTATTTTCCTTCTTCTTTATGTAACGAACCAAAGATTAATTTATTCTGTAATGGAGCCCTACAGCGCAGAGTCCTGTACGGGTCTATTTTTGAAGACCCGCACCTGCGCAGTACAGCATAGCACCTGCCCTTTAACCCGAAATTATATCAAACTTTTGCACTGCATATGCCATGGACTAAACCAAGACAAACCCAGGACTAACCAAGACTAGCCTGAACAAGTAGGACTAAACAAGGGCTGAACTAAGACTAAAACAAGACTAAATCAGAACTAAACCAGGACTCATTGTCGGGACAGGCTCTTAGGTGACCACAGGCATACCGGGCATACCCACCCGTAAACTTCCAGAACGTAAAAATTTGCCTGTTTCAGCACTACTTGCCCGTGGGTACAGACCCGGTGCAGGACTCTGCCACATCCGCTTAACTTCTACCTTGCTTCAGCGTATCCAGAAGTCCAACTTTTTGTGCGATGGTTAGCATCTTCCTCTGTCTTTTGAGTGCGATCGCAGGAGCCTTTGTCGGTGCAGAAGGTTTCGTCGACATTGTGGGTTTTGTGGGGGAGAAAACTTGCAAACATACAGCTCTTCAGGATCACACTGCTAGAGATCGATGTAAATTTGGTAGTATTCTGTACTGTACAGGAGACACAGCACAGAAGAGATTGACAACTGTCTACAGCCAATCAGGACGCAGGGGGAGGAACACAATGCAGTATTTTGTCTGCTCAAATTAGTAGATATTATTAGACCCACGTCGTCTCATTGAACACTGCTATATGGACTTTGTGCAGACAAATAAGTGATGTATTTGTTCTATGGTTATTATGTCCCAGCTCATACTGATCATTATGCATGTTCATGTTGCCGTGAAGGTTATACACTGTAAAAAAAAAAAAAAAAATTCTAAATTGCACAAAAAAAAAACAATCCATCCATTCATTTTCTTCCGCTTATCCGGGGCCAGGTCGCTGGGGCTGCAGTCTAAGCAGGGACTCCCAGACTTCCCTCATCCCAGACACGTCCTCCAGCTCTTCCGGGGGAACCCCGAGGCGTTCCCAGGCCTCCCGGTGGGACATGCCTGAAACACCTCCCGAGGGAGGTGTCCAGGAGGCATCCGGAACAGATGCCCGAGCCACCTCAGCTGGCTCCTCTCGACGTGGAGGAGCAGCGGCTCTACTCCAAGCTCCTCCCGTGTGACTGAGCTCCTCACCCTATCTCTACCCAGCCACCCTGCAAAGGAAACTCATTTTGAGTGCTTATATCCGCGATCTTGTCCTTTCGGTCACTACCCAGAGCTCATGACCATAGAAACAAAAAACAAAACAAAAACGCGATAACACTTGACAATGAGATGCATCCTGCTTCCGTGGATACAGGCACAACCTCCATCTGTTACACAATGGTACAGAGAGACTTTTAAGGTTTTTCCAATGGAGCGCCTCAGTGCCCCCTTAAAAGGCAATTCAAACCCTTTCTAGAAAATATGTCAACCTTTTTAGGACCATCTACCTTGGGACTTGGCTGATATACTTAATACGTAAAGAAGACTCCCATTTTATTTTTAATTTTAATCAATTATTGTGCAGTGTGTACTCTGTCATTTTAGCTCTGATCTTGTGACAATCTTTGTCCATCTAGTTTTACACAGACTATGCTGTGCTGGATTGTATTGTTCAGTTTAGTTAAAAAAAAAAAATGCAATAAATTATTGTTTAAAAAAAGGAAAAATGCCAGTCAACATCTAGGGGTAATCTACATTTGTACAAGTACAAGTAAAATGATTCAGGCAACCATGGGTGCTGGCTGAGACTGTCAAAACTTGGGGAAAGGATTAAAATTGGATACCAGAAAGGTAATCACATGAGACTTTACAAATAAACTACTTCCTGCAGCCATGTTCTGATTGTACAATTCTGCACAAGAACCCATGCAGTTTTCTTTTAAATCCATCTTACCGTACTATGACCATTATTGCTTTAGAGTTGCTGTTTAATTTGGTCAAATTTCCTTTGACCTCTGCAACAAAACTAGACAAAAAATGTTATCTTAAAATACTTGATTTGATCAATAATGTTTAGGATTTGGGGTATTTATTTTGTATGCTCAAATAAGTAGATATTATTAGACCCACGTCGTCTCATTGAACTCTGCTATATGGGCTTTGTGCAGACAAATAAGTGATGTATTTGTTCTATGGTTATTATGTCCCAGCTCATACTGATCATTATGCATGTTCATGTTGTCGTCAAGGTTATTTCCCACATAACAGCATGATAATTTGTTGGTAGAACACATTTCCATCATAATAACTTTCTTTGTATTTGTCCTGTCTTTTACTGCATTCAAATGCATGACAGGTTTTTTTCTGATTATTACTTTTGGTGAGTTAATACTTGTGATAAATATTCATCCTCAGTTTTGCATCATCATCATGCAGGGACAAATACAAGTAAGGAAGGCATTTTTTAACAGTTTAAATGTTAATTTAACCAAATAAAGGTATTTATCTGTATTAGTCTAATATTGTGTAATTAATGCCCTTGTTTAGGTAATGGTTTACATAATGGTAGCCAGGTAATTGTAACGGAATTACCTCTAGGTATGTCCAAACTGTCAGTTCCACTTTAAGTGTTAACTCTTATAATTTTCCTAACCCTGTTATTCCAGTGTTGCGTCAGCTATTCCTCTACAATAACTCTTTAACTGTTTCATTGTTTCACTGATTCACTGGTTGTTACAACCTCAACAGCTCCTCCTGTAGCCATATCTGTTTAAGTCCCTGCTGATCCCTGTGTTTATGCATGCAAGCCAGACAGACCTCTCCTGTGATTGGTGGATTCAATTCACCTGGATTCCTTTCAGCTGATTGGTGTATCGTCCTAACGGCTGACCAATCCTGGGCCTACACCTGCAGCTGCCACACCTATAAAAGGACCTGCCTCCCCTGCCATGCCTGTCTGCTGTTCTACCTGTGACTCTGATGTAATGTTTGCGTTATCTTTTGTGTTCTTGTTAATTTGGTAATTGAGACACTAGTAGTTCTTGGTGACTTAATTTGAAACTGGTTTGTTTTTCTCTTATTGTAATTTATATACTCTATTTTTGTTAGCCTGCTTTTAGTTATACATTCAGCTACTCTGTTGAGAGCCTCTGTTTGTAAACTGTTTTTAATATCCTCATTTTGTTAGTTTCACCTTTACATTCATTTTAAATAAACTACAACTTAAATGTTACAATTTTACATCTTGGTTCTTTTGTTATTTCCCCTGTCCCTAGTAGAGCTGGGTCATAACACTAGTGCAGGTCTGCAGAGGTGACTTGCAAGTGACACACTGCAAATGAATGATGTCAGCACAGATTTCTTCTTAGAGAGTCACTGGAGCTTTGCCAGGTATGAGCTACACATCCACTGCATACTTTGGGCTTTGTTCACACTTGTATTTGATCTTATTTTAGTTGTGATATAGACTTGGTTTGGTCCTCTTTTAGTCCTGGTTTAGTTATAATGTAGTCCTGGATTAGTTCTGATTTTATTCCCAGTTTAGTTGTGGTTTATTTATACCTGGTTTATTCCTGAGTTAACTCCCACTTTAGTCAAGGTTTGATCTGCTGGATGTGTGCATGTTAGATTTACATACACTTCACAATCCATACCAAAAAAGTAGACAAATTATTATAACAATAATTTATTAAAAATTAAAATGTCATAAAATACAATATAACAAATAAACCAGTGCATTTTAGTTACATTTTACAATTGATTTGCCATCTTGTGGTGTTATTAGGTGGTGTCCACAGGTGCATCTCTACTCTTCTTCCAGATGGAGCAGCCCTATTGGTGGTTTTTTTTTGTATTTAAAGGTTGTATAGAGGATTTTCCAAGGAACGAGTAATCCAGCGACTGTTTGTCCCCCAAGCATTTGCGAGCATGTTGCCCCCACTCCTGTCCTTTAGACCCTGCGTCTGTTTCAGTTGCACCATCGCTATAATGAATCTTCAAGAATCACCTTAGTTTGGCTTCGCTGCTTTTCCCCTTGTCTTCTTCTTTCAGCAATCTCAAAAACTGACTTTCTTTTGCGGCTAACTGCTCCTGGATTCTTGTCTGCCATTGCAACAAACTTTGTGCAAACTGCGAGGATGATATAGGTCAAAAAAAGCCGCTAAGAACTGTTGCGTTGGTGGAGTAAACAGCGTCTGTGCGGCTTGCGTCTGTGGACTGCGTGACAGGCGTACGTAAACCACGTACCGGCGGCGCGCAGGCAAGGTCAGTTACGCTAGAAACGTAGGGAGATTGATTGACAGCCTGTCGACAGATAACGAGGCAGTCTTGTTATCTATTGGCAAATGTTTAGCTGGCCCCACCACGTCCAGAGTTGATTAATTTTTATTTTCTTTTTTTTGGTCATCATAATTACAAGGCTACTGCACCTCTATAATGCTATCATTGACAATTTGAAACAAAAAAAAATCCTCCATACAACCTTTAATTCACATGGTTTGCTCTCAGTTCTGTTTCTCCCCTGAGGAAAGCCATAGGCTGAAACACGTTGGGACTTTGTAAGTTGTCCATTAAGACATGCTGTAAATTAATAAAGGCATTTTATTTTAACCAGTGAGTGCCTTGGGTTTTTTGCATCTTTTTACAATTGATTTTTTGAATACACAACAATGTAGTAGTCCATATATACAGTATGTACCTTCCAATAAAAATCCATTTTACATAGTATATATACAAAACATTAGATATAGATATTGCATTATCGTTGTAGATACCAGTGGTTTTCTTGTTGGGGTTGACCTACAATATGACCTCAGTCACTGTCATGTCCTGAGGTTGTGGTTCATTCTCCTCATTTTCTGACACATCATTTCCCTCCTCCATTTGTTCAATCTGAATCCTCAGCTGTTCCTTTTCATTTCTAATCACCTCATTCTCAATAGCTTTTTGCTCGTCCTCTTTCTCTCTATCTTCTTTCTCTGCCTTCTCCCTATTCTGTTGCTTTTGTATTTTTTAAAGTAGCACAGGTTTTTCTCAGGGTAAGTGACTTTGGCCAGAGGGAGCTTGAAGATCTTGTTAGTGCCCATAGTGATGAGGAGAAATGTCAGAGCCGAAAGGCAGAAGGGCCAGGTGCATGCTGGGAGACCAAACTGAGAGAGCAATAATGTATGAGATTAGATTTGAACATTTGTGCTATGCTTAATAGATCAAATAAATGTAATAAAAGAGAACTCACCCTTGACATGATGTTGGCTATAGCTGAACCAAGGTAAGCACAGAAAAATGCTGTGGAAATAAACAATAATATAAGCTGTTTGTGATGGGCATTTAAAAAAAGATTCTTCTCTAAATGAACTTACCGCATGTGATGGCAAGTAGATGAACCTGCCAGGTGAGTGCGTAAAACATGCCTCCTATAGCAATGCAAGCTAAGACACAGTTGTATCCCCACAGACCAAAGTAAATATCGCCAAATGGTGCAGCCAGTGCAAGACCTGGATAAAGAACATTAGGGTAAGAGGCAAGCTTGCTAACTATATATCTATATATCTATATATATATATATATATATATATATATATATATATATATATATATAATAATTGTTTGGTTTTTTTTTTACCTGAAACCATGCCCACTGCTGATCCCAGAACAGCATGAATGCAAGTGATGGGTGATGAGATAAAAAGAGCAATAATGAAAATGCCTCCAGTCCAAGGATTGTCACAGCCATAGACCTGCCCAATTCCCACAGGCACTGACATAAACAACTGTGGACAAATAGAGAAGTACATATTTTAAATGAAAGACAGACTCATAAGCTAGCATTTTTATATTGTTAACCTCCCTGGAATGCAGTGATCCAATAAAAGATAGAGAGAAAAAAGCTCATATATTATTAGAACAGTAAGGTTAAAATGTGAGCTTTAACCTTTGGCAGATCTATCTCGGCCCAGGTGATGTTGGGCAGCTCCGAGCGAGGCTGGATCAGGACCTGGGGGAAGTGATGGTTGTAGTGTCCTGTGGCAACCATGTGCAGACAAACCAGAATATTAAAGGGAAGAGTGAATACTGGAAGGTCCCAACGACTGTTTATGGAGGCTAGAGCACTGGATACTATAGGGCTGGAAAAAAGGGGGAAAAAAAAAAATTTAGAATGAACAATACTTTTAGCTGACCCCGATGTGGTAAACCACTGACCAAAATGTTCAGAAATATTTAGTAGGGGGGATGGATGAATCCTATGTCAACTCACCACATCATAGACATGAAGATGTTTGGCAGCAGAAGCCACCAGTACCAGTCCCCTTTATATGAGAACACGGCCATGAGGAGGCCCACCAAGATACCATTGTAACCATACAGCCCTGCTGCTATTGCGCCTCTGTTTAAGACAGCACATGAATCAGTGTTATTCATCTTTGTGTCAGAAACATATGTCAGTAATAGTTATTGTTTAAGAATGTACCCCAACCTGTTTTGCTGCAGAATTAGAGCAGATAGTGTTGCGAAAAGCGTCCCCACGAATCCATTGAGAGCCCACCAGTAGTTCTGCAGGATGAGGCCGGCAAAAATGATGAGTCCACTCAGAGGGTTGTTCACAAACATGACCTGAGCAGCTCCTCGCAACACCCAGTCAATCAGCTGCAGCAAAATAAACTGCCCTGGATGCGAAGACGCAGACATGAGACTCAGACAAGTAAAGCCATCAAAGAGTCACTTATAAATGATGAAGGTAAAATGTAATATGAATAGTAATAGCATAAACATTATGGAAAAATCATTTCACGCTGTGGGACTTACTCTCCATCCATTTAGCAAAGGGTGTCATATCTCCAGCAAAATAAGAGAGGCCCTTGAGCATGCAAGCGCGGACCTTATGGATGGAGTGTGGTGAGCCGGTCTCGGGCTGTGCATAGTCTGACTGCTCAGACTTTACTTCAGGAAGGGCCATGAGGGGCTGCAGCTCCTGGAGTCAGTCAAGTGTGTCTCACTGTTAGATATGTAATCATTTGCATGTGCCTGACTAATAGTATGTTTGATTTACTCACAGTGGAGGTGCTGTCAGGAGTCGAAACTGGTGGCACTACTGAAGTAAAGAAGCAAGGAGTCTGTGGACCATGAGGGGACAGGTTTATAGGTAAAATTCTACATTAATCACAACTATTGTGTGCTTTTCTTTTTCATAACTTGTTATGACAACAGTAACAGAGTGCCTTATGAACTAAAACACTAGTGGTCCCTACTAAAGAAAACATCTAATTCAATATTGCTTGACAGTACATTTTGTATTGTTGTATATGTGACATATTCCTAGAACCTGTTGCTATTTCTCAACACAATATTCTCCACTAATATTTTTAAAAGCCAATAAGTACATCCAATCCAGTCCAATCCAGTGCAACTTTATTTGTATAGCACATTTTAAAAACAAAACAGTTACCAAAGTGCTTCACATAGCAATGCAAAACATTTTACTTAAAAAAAAAAAATCTGCAGAATTATGTTTCAACCATAAGGAAACTAATAGAATAAATAAATAAAATAATAATAATAAAATCAATGAATAAAAATATTAAAATTAATACATAAAAGCAGTACTAAAATAATAAAATAGATGAAAACAATAAATAAATCTAAGTACATCTATAAAAGTATTTTAAATTCTTGTAAAAAACAATATTACAGATTATTTAAACAAAAATATTTTATCCTGAAATAGCCTCAGATAATTATAAAGTCAGTTATGGAGTTGTGAAATGCTCTTACCTTAGAGCTGTGTTGCGCAGTCATAAGTCCCAGAATGAGCACAGGTGCCTCAGCTTCCCCTGGAGCTTTTGTTCAACACTTTCTCTGAACTTATATAGCGTCGCACACCTAGCCTCTCATTTGACTTTCTTTGTCGCACTTCCTTTCTTCATCCTCTGCAGGAATTTTTTAGCATTGATCTTATCCCAATCTTATCTCCCCAGTTGTTTTGCGTCGACACACATGCATGCATATTTCTAGAACATTTTTAGCCAAGTTAAAAAGAGGTCAAAAATCATCCCATTCCCTTTTAAAATTTTGTTTGCTAAATAAATCACTACAGACTAATCATGTTATTGGTTGAATTGCTTGAATTATAACCTAGCTGTGCACTGGATTTAACTTGAGAGGCATGATCCAAACAACAAGTGCTGTTGCCAAATTCCAGGGTGAATGACCAATACCCAGACTGGGCCTCTTACACTGGCTCTCTGTCATCTGTGTCTAACAGCTAAAGACAAACTGCATAAATGGTGCCAGTTAAAGTTACCACAACTATAAATAAACTGGGGTGCAAAAGTAACTACGTACTTGGATTAAATGATGAATCGGATGAATTAAATAGAAACTTAGATCTGTAGTAGCAATTGCGTTTAAGTGCTATTGCGATTAGAGCACTTGAATTATATAAGTAATCATTTGTGACTCTTTCGAGGCATGTCTAGCATCTCTTGTTGTATATTGGTTATATAAATCATCCATTTGCATAGACATTTCTTTGCAGCTGATAAGAGCTGTTGGACAAGTATGAGGCCTGCATACAAATCATCTCAGAAGTGCAAAAATGTTCTTATGCAACTTGTCAGACTGGCAATGACATTACTCATCCACATAACAGAGTTTTTATTTAATATATTAAATAGAAAAATAAAGTAGTGCCAAATATTACAGGCTACTGCCCAGTGTTATCTTTGATCAAATCCCTGGAGATACAGAGTTATGTAAGCGGGGGCTGTGTTTGTGCTCTCTGCATTTAGCCATTAAACACAATTACACTCCAGACACCACCCAGAACTCATTAGAACTACAGACATCAGGTCACCACTGAAGGAAGTCTCCTTTGTTGCATTGACAAAGTAATGTTTGCTGTTTTGATGTTTCTTTCAGAATATAGAAGTGCATGCACCAAACTGGACAATGGGACATTAACAGTGAAGTCAGCTAGATGTATTTTGGCCTATGGTATGGTCATTTCTTAAAGTAGGCCTGCATAATTAGTGCTGATTGAAAAGTATTTTAACTTTGAACAAATTAATCTTTTGCTGTAAGCATTTCAAGCTTCTGTAATTTTTACAAGTTCAGGAAAGAAGGAATGTTGTCCTTATTTAAATATATTGATACTTTGGCAGCTGATGCCATCAACACCCTCTGGGCATGTGATGCTAACTGCAGACACACCTCTGTCTAACGCTCTGTTATACTCTGAGCAGTATTTTTTATTTTTTTTTAGTTTTCAGACAATCTGAAAACTTGTGTCACCATGGTAACTGCTGAACGTTCTGCCATAGTCATACACTTCAAAGTATCAATTATGTCTATATTACTGTTTTTGTTAACTGTTTTGCATAGTGCTGGCAAGTGTTACATTATAATATTAAAGTGACAATAGACATTTTCTACAACCTACTCAAATGTTTACTCGATGCCTACATTGTTCAAAATAGTGAGAGCAGGCAGTAGAACCACAGTGTAGAACAGTGCTGACATCTAGTGGAAAAAGAGGAAAGTGCATGTTTAGAGTACTAATAAATATGTGCGATAAGACCATTCTGTACCCATCTGAACTGAATACATATACACCAACTCTTAAGTGCAGCCATATGCCTTTTTTCTGTCAAGACTATTCTTCCAAAAATCAGATTAGCCCATATTAGAAGAGGCAGCCTGTCATCATTTGTATGCTGCTAAACCACATTCATACACAAAAGATGAGAGAGGCCACAAGGCGTCCATATTTGTTTGAGTATTTGTGAAGAAGGGGGGCAGAGTGGGTGGCCCAACACCATCACTATATGTGCAGCCTATATGCTACATTTGATTATTGTCTCATCCACAGATTGTTTTTTATGATGTCTGTTAAGCCTTGAAGCATCATGAATCAATATTTGCAGATTAAACCCACACAGGAGTTGAATTGAAGGAATTACCATTGTATAGTGAATTCAGCTGTCTTTGTTTATGCACAAATGATAATGTACACGCTGTAAATTTATGGTTATTTCTAAATAATAATAATAATAAATATTATTATTATTATTATTGTTATTATTATTATTATTATTATTATTATTATTATTATTATTATTATTATTATTATTATTATTGTTATTATTATTATTATTATTATTATTATTATCTGAAATGGGGTGGCCACTTTTTTGTTGTTGTTGTTCTCCCAAAACGATTATCAGAAAATATGTTTGCAATCCAAAATGTTGTAAAAATGCCTGTCTTGCTTGAGGTAGCAAAAACTGGACCTGACTGTCTGTATTAATCAATTACTAGCTTTAGTATTTGTATTATTTTTCCTTTAGACAGTGTACTTAATACTAATTTTGCATACATGAAGAAGCAAGTAACCTAGATTACCAGTTGAACCATACCCCAAATATCATTATTATTATTTATGTATCTATTTATTACATTAATTAATTAATTAATTTATTTTTCAGAAATGTTTACATCATCCAGCTAATCAAACACCCTTGACTTCACTTTGAGTAATCATTAAATGTAGAGGGAACAAAATATAGTTTCAAAAGTTATGACTATCTTATGACTGTGTTGGTGTTTTTTTTACAGCTCTAAAGCGTTGTATTAAAGTATTGGGTTATGCATGCTTAACCTTGTACTTGAACGAGAAAGGGAATACAAAGCCTCTCTTGTTCTATGTGGTGCTTTATCCTCATTACACTTCTCATTTGTTTATACTGTTAACCTCCCTCCTCCTCCAGCCTTCATTAACTCTCTCAGCGTTTACAATTACTGCCCCTCACTCGTGTGCTTGGTGTTTCCAACAGGTTACCGCCAATGGTCTGAGCTCCGATGATGGGCAAAAGTTAATGTTTATGAGAAGGAAGGCATTAAATTTATTGTATTTGAAAGCTGAGATTTTAAAGAGAAAATAGGAGCTTAAGGAAAGACAGATGAGGACGGTGCAGAGGGAAAAGCAGGGCGCAAAGGAGAGCAAAAGACAAAAAGTAATTGGTCCTATGATGGCTTCCAGCTGCATGGACCCCAGCCAACCCAAGTCTTCATGTCATGCATTCGCACGCACGCTAACACCCGCACACTCCAAGTCTGCAGAGTCCCATAAACTTGTAGTTTCTGACAATGTACAATGTTGTGATTCCCATATACTCCAATAGCTGCATCAGTGATATACAGTCTGAGCCCCCTAAAGGCTGGAACACAATGTTGAAATTAGGTTATTGATATTGATATGATGAGATGATATGATATTAGGTTTACTTCACAATGAAAAAATAAATTCTATTACTGAAACAAAAGTTAGCTGTTCTGTCCAGACATTAGCTCATTTGCTCATTTGCACATTTTACATTGCTTATTTTAAAACCTATTATTGTTTCATTTTCACCTCAAACATTTCTGTCATATTATAAGATCAATTCTTACAAATGTTGGATTAGATTTGCATATTATTAAAGGTACACTACGTCATTTTTTGGTGTAGGGTCTGCCACCTGCTTGTCTCCATGGAGATGTAAATGCTTTGCCTGGAATATTATACAGAGTACCGTTAGATCAGCCTGCTCACATGAGAATTGGTTTGAGTGGTAACAATTAATAAATGTAAGATGAGTTTAATGCCATGCTGTGGAACATTCACAGGAAAGCAAATACCATCTTGGAGACAAGACAACAAGACAAGACAAGACAACACGGTGGCAGGCTCTACATACTGCTCCATAAAATGTGTTCTATATGAACTGTGGATGTATACAGGAAAAAAAAGGCAATTAATTAGACATGACCTGTCAGTGGCTCACTTGACAACTGATGTAAACATAAGCGTCCAGATGTGTAAATGTATGTTTGCCTTTATGTTGCAACATCTGTTCAGGAGATAGTAAATTAGCTGCTTTCTCTGCAACTGTCGAGTCTGTCAGTCAAACAAATTGCTCACATGTTCAGAGTGTGGATTTGTTATAATCACACACTGACGAGCGGAAACACTGTAAATAACGTAGCCCATATAAACGAGCGTCTTCACAATCTGATAATTTGCAAACAATGTCAACAGATTAATGAGCTGAATAAATAATACACCAGGCAGAAACAGAAAAACACAGAGTATCAAACGGACCGGAAAGCTTTCCTCCAGGTTTTCCAATTAAAACACTGCTCTGGATTTATGTGATCATGTGCGCCATCACAGATGTTCCCACTAAAACTTGTCAAAATGTGAAGATTGGAGCTGGGTTCTTGTCAGTAGAGTTTGAAAGTTTTAATGAGAGTTTGGGGCTTTTGGTGGCTCTGTGTGATACTGTAGCCTTAGATTTCCCACTAATACTGTAACCTGGATAATCCACAATCAGGTGTTATCCAAATAAACTGGGTGACTACCAGTGCTCTGTGATTAATCATATTTGAATCTGATCCAATATTTTAAAACAAAAATTATCATCTTCATTTTAATGAGAGGGTTACAGCAAATTATCTTATAGTTACATTATGGTTAAATTCATGATAGTTGTAGGCTATATGTTTTTACTTTGTTATTGCATAATTTTCCTATCAATTACTTAAATATTGTTTAATTACATCTGCTGATATCACAATGCTAAAAAAAAATTAGTAGCTGGTATTTCCTTTGAGTGTTTTTCACCTCCCTTTATCTTCTGCCACTATTCTGTACTTTGTACAATTACTGATGTTGAAGAGGCCAGTCTGAACAGGAAGTCATCTCACCAGTTTCCATTATCAAGTCATTTTAGATCAATATTTCAATAGTTTGCATATATTATAGTTTAATATAGTTTAAATACTAAATACCCGAAAAAGCATGTCTTCTTTAATGCCTTTACTTTGTTTTATGTTCATATGTTTTTATTCAGCCCATGTCCAGGGTAATGCGTGTTAATAAACTCTGGGTTCAGATCACACAGTACTTGATGTAAGTTGGCACAGTGAACTCAGTGCATCTCTGTCTCACGTCAAGTCCCTCTCCTCTCCCTCAAACACAGACAGCCCCTCTATGCTCTCCTCCACAGCAGCTGGAGAAACCATTAGCAGCTGGGTCCTCGGAAAAGAGAAAAGTCAAATTATTATCGCTGACATTTCAATACTGCCTTTAGTCTGAGCTTCCAAGCGAGCGGCCAAATCCATTCAGGCTAATCTA